CATTTCTCATTAGGCTTCCACTCCGACGATGCAGACATTCTAAACACAACAAAAAAAAGAGAAAAATGCAATTCAATCGAACAATCAGCGATGTGCTTTTTGTTGTTCGTATTGAACATATGATCGTCACTCATACTCCTTCCTTCCTCACATCTACACAGATGTGTCTAAATCAGATCTCATATCGGGCGTTGACACGGACATCTTATCAGAGACGGCCAGCGACAACTGTGCATTGAGAGCGTCTCGCTTAGGGATCCGCATACCTGTCTCGGACCGTTTGTTGCTGGCCCATGCCCACACAACGGCGTCGAGGTCTTGCCATCCTTCGTCGGATTCAGTTTCAACCTTCCACTTCTTTGCCAATGCGTCTGCATACAGCTTCGATAAGTCGCGATTCCTTCGTTAAGGTGTCCAGTACTTGACGCGGATACGACTATCATCCCGCTCCATAACACGCCTTATCTAAAATGTGCAGCCCTTTTCAACATACTCGTCGGGCGCGCAGAACACGACGAAGTTGTTCACGGCGACAGAGTCATGTGGTTTGAACTCCGGTTTGGGAGCGTCTTTCTTGTAACCGACGAAGCAAGGTTTCCTCGGTGGCGAGTCGAGGATATGCGGCGCACCTAATGGGAGATCTTGCGTATCGGGCATGGGAGCTGGCCAGAAGGGACCTTCAAGGGGCACCGTACCGCTCTCCTCTTGCGACATGTTTTCAAACTTTTCCTGATTTTCGGACCAGTAGTTCAAGCGTCTACAATTCATTGCTCTTGTGTGTTCGTCTTGTGTCTCCCAATGGTTTTGTGAGTTATCCCACGATCTATGGAGAACACGCAACCCCGCTATTACGTTAACGAAATCGCCTGCCTCGGGGTTAGGTGAATCGCGGCAAGGCTGGAAACCCCATTCAGGCCCTGCCCACCCGTTGCGTGCGTCCCTTTTAAACCAATTGACAGGGCCAGTGTCTGACTCCCACTTTTTGTCGGTATAAAACTCCTTGTACATCATGGCAAGGTTGTCCCCGTCCATGTAAAATCGAAAGCGGTGCGGCGTGGCATGAACCTTGATTTTATGATCGATGTACAGATCTATGACGATTTTCCAGTCAACAATTTCAGTGAGCAACGTGCAATCGACCTCCTCTTCGTAGGATGCTTTGAGGACATCGAAGAGCTCGTCCATGGTATATGCATCGCAACCGCTCAATTTTTTTGCAAACAAGCTGAACTTCACATCTATGTCCGTGTGTGTGTGACCCACTATCATGAACCGCATTTCGACGACCTCAAATATCGTAAATTTGACAAGCATGGCCATGAAGGCGAACACATACTTGTTTTTGTTTTGTCCCCCACAGTTGTCAGCTTGCACCCGCAACTTCGGCGGGAGCACCTCTTCGCGTGCCTGGATATCTCTCAACACTTTGGCAATGGAGTTAACAACTGAGTTCGAGCCGTGCGACAAGTATGGGAACCACGTGTGGACAAAGAGCGACGGTGTCCTACCATGCGTGATTATCCCAATGAGATTAGTTTTCATCATCGCGTTATTCGACATTTCTTTAGACAAACGTCTTCTCGACACATAGGGAATCGTTGTTTTTGCTTGATCCATACCGTCGATGATGATACACAGGCTCTGTTTCGGTCTATGTTCCGATTCAGCAGACCACACGCTGTACTTTTTCTGGTGTGCAGACATTAGTGCAATGTGACTTTTCTGTTTTGCGACAAACGCCCGTCTCGGCTCGGGCAGAGCACCCTCTATGAGGATGCTATTCTTAATGCACTCGTTGCATCTTGCGTGGTCGGTCACCCTTGCGAGTCGAACGTGCCAAAAAAAGTCCCTCCACATCTTGCAGAAGACCTGGTACGACGCGCAACAAACACCAAGCTTAGAGAGTCGTCTACGAATACAGAGGAAGACGTCTTTCTTCGTGGCGTACACTGACGGGAGGCGAATGCGATTTCTGATCTCGAAGTTTGGGCTTGTTTCAGTCTGATCTGGCATTGGATCAGACTCATCCAAAATGATGTCCTCGAATGCCGACCATGTGATGGCGTAGGTGGTTGTTGTCCGTGGACGCCCGTCATGGCCGTGAAAAGCATCGACTGTTCCGTCGTGGAGGTCATCGCTGTATCTTTTGAACGTGTTCCGGCCAACGCCCAGTATGAGACACCAAGCAGTGACACATACAGGGTGCAACTACACTATCAATTTGACTGTCGGTTTGCAGTCAACTAACGAAATGAAATTATGAAGTTTCGCCATCCACCATTTCCGCCTATCTAGCCCTTTGAGAACGTGGTAGTCATGCCTACACTTCATCACATCCTTTACTATCAGTTTAGAAAGATATTGAAATGTCTTGCAACATGTTTTGTGGAGAACGGCCTCACACTCGTCCACGCTACACCTACGTTGGAAAGCGGAGGTGGAAGTCGAAACACTTCTTTTTCTCAGTCTGTACGTGTATTTTCTCTTTCTGTTTCCACCACACAACACAGACAAGGCAGATACAGCGGTATCCTCTTCGACCGGCAAGTCAACGTCCGACAAACGAGCAACATGCCCCCCCCCTCCTCAACTGCCATCGCATGACGGCGCCGGTAGCATGTCCATGGGAGCACACAGTTCGCCAGTGTCACTTGCTGGTGACGAATTCACCCGAATAGAAGGTTCAGCATACCCATGCGGCGGTCCCGTGCCAGCATCAGAAGGCAAGCCGACGACATCGTTGATGATGTCGTCAAGGCGAAGACACCGCACAACGTTCATATTGGAGGATGGCACGGCCAGATGACGTGCGCGACGTCTGGGCACACCATCAACACGGTGTGCAGGATGGCCACGTTTCGATGGTGTAATGGCAACGTCTGGAGACCGGCTTTCACATGAGGTGTCAGCAGCATGGGGCACGGGCGTGCGAAGAGACTGCACAGATGGCAAAGAACTGTAGTAATAGCTGTCCATCCCGCTCGCCATTGAGTCGGTTACGCAAATGAAAATGTCTTGTAACAGGCCATGACATAACAGAGGAATCCAAAACAGGAAGACACATGAGAAGGGATGCCGCCCCTCCCCTTCCCCACACCCCCGTCCCCGTTCAATAGGTGGGGGGTCCGGCAGATTGGGAACGCCGGACCCCCCGTTCAACAGGTGGGGGGTCCGGCGGATCGAGAACGCCGGACCCCTTATGTTCGACAAGAGGGGACCTGGGCAAGAGGGGACCCGGGTTCCGACGCGGCCATCCCCCCCCCTCTTTTCAGCCCCCCGACCTTTCGAAGGGGGGGGGGTCCAGCGTTCCCAATCCGCCGGACCCCCTTTTTGAACGTGCAAGGGGTCCTGCGTCCGGAAGATGAACAGAGGGTCCGGCGCCGGAGCCCGTGCGGGTCGGAAAGGGGTTCCGGCGGATTGGGAACGCCGGACCCCCGTTGAACAGGAGGGGGGTCCGGCGGATCGAGAACGCCGGACCCCTTATGTTCGGCAAAGGGGGACCCGCGTTCTGATGCGGCCACCCCCCCCCCCCCCTCTTTTCAGCCCCCCGACCTTTCGAAGGGTGGGGGGGGTCCGGCATTCCCAATCCGCCGGACCCCATTTTTGAACGTGCAAGGGGTCCTAAGTCCGGAATGATGGGGCGGAGGGTCCGACGCCGGAGCCAGCGCGTGTTGGAAAGGGGTTCCGGCGGATTGGGAACGCCGGACCCCCCATCAACAGGTGGGGGGTCCGGCGGATTGAGAACGCTGGACCCCTTATGTTCGACAAAGGGGGACCC